ATTTAAAAATATATATTTTGTTGTCTCATAAGTAAATCTATAAGTAAAATATAAATAAGTACCTACAATTTAAAAGTGGGAAAAATAATTGCGTTCATAGAAACCAGATTGTTGATATATTTGGAAAAATATCGATAGAAAATTAATTTGATAAATCTCTGTAGAATAAGAATGTTTAAAATTTTTGTGTGTCTGTCTGGGGATGAAGTAAGACCTGAAATATGATGCAGGTGTTAATGATTAAAGTAGAAAAAGGTAAGGCAAAAGGTGTAGAGTTTATTGATCTCAACAAGAAATGACATTATACAGAATTAAGTGGAAACTTATAGAACATGATGATAAACAAAGAAAAAATATTTTATTCAAATTGTTTCTATGAGTTTAGATTGTAACATAGCTTATTTTTCAAAAAAATTAGGGATGAAGAGGAAAAATAAACCAGACTTTTTTTAAATCCCCCCCCCTATTTCTATAAAAATTGCTAAATAGACTGTATTTATAAATGTATTTATAAATATAAATGTATTTATAAATATAAGTTAAGCTTACTGGTGAGTATTTTTTTTTTTTCAATATAAATACACGCTAATTTTAGTTAATCAATTTTTATTGAACTTTATGATACTGCACATTATTCTCAGATTAATTATTTAAACAAACACTTTTCCCTTTTTAAGGGCTAGAGCTCTCCACAACTTCCTTTTCTTTAATATCTGCAAACTATTTTGCCATGATTGTTCTTAGGAAAAATAGTGATGTGATTTCTTTATGGATTCTTCTCCTAAAGTGGCTACCAACCAAGGCTAGAGAGACTAGTCTGCTGTTATACCATAATACCTATTCTATTGTAATAGATTCTCCCACAGATAAGTAGTAGTAGCAGTCGCCAGTTGGGCTCAGTGGTGTTCAGTGAGTCTGTCGGACATTGAAGTATCAACCATCACAACTAGATTGCTGCGTCATTAACTCTTATTTCAAGTTCCTAACGTTTTGTATGTCGAACCTAACTTAGGACGACTTATTGAAATACAAGCCTCCACTGTGAAAACTACTCTACAACATCTACTCTGCTGTTTAACCCATAGCCAGAAGGAGAAGAGTTGTATTCTATATCCTTAGAAAAGGACATAAGTGTATATTGAATGCAAGCTATCTCAGCCAAATTTGGAATCCTCTTCTTCAATGTGCCATGTTTTTTGCTCTTCATGACCTCCTATTCCTTGTAGCCCTTAGCAATGTTTGTCACTTTGCCAAGCCTCTTAAACCCCGATTCCAACATCCATTCAGACAAGCTTGTCAGGTAGGTAGTCCGCTACTTGCCTTTATCTTTTTTTTCTTTGATATGAGTGTCAAATTCTCTAAGCCCTCCTTCCTCATTATCTCTCTAAGAAATTCGGCTGTCTCTTTCTGATTGTAAGTGTCCGAATTTGAAATAGTCTTACCAATTCCATTTTTCACACCTCTATTTAGTCTACTGCACCTCCGTTAAAACAAACTTCAGGACCAATTAAATTATTTACTGTGAAAATAAAAAGTTAATTTTAAACTGTCATCTATTATTATTTTTTTTAATTAAATTTTTTAAACTGCCTTTCAAATCCTTATGAAATAGGGGTAGATTTTTTTTTGTTCATGAGTATTTACGTAATACAAAGTTTAAGAGCCTCTTAAGGTAAAGGCTTAAATATGGTGTATTATTTGAATAGGAGTAGGGCTTATGTGGATATAGAGAATAGCTAATGATTGATCCTTGATTTGAAATATTTTCACAAAATGAGTGCTGCCCAGTCTTCAATGTCAAGTTTTGACAGAAGTGATTGAACAAGTGTCTTTGTGGGTGATGAATAATTTTCTCCACTACAAACTGTTCCCCCACAGATGAAATGTTGATAGCCTCTTGCTACACTGTCACTATTTCTATGACAAATGTTCAGATGAGCTACACTATTTAGTTCTACCAGTTTAGACCTTTACAGCTCGGATCTTTCATGCCATGTACATGGTGTCAATTTGTCTTCATTCCCTTTGTATTCCTTTAGTAAGGACAAAGTTTTTTTCAGAGTTTCTTCCCCAGGACTGTCACTTTATGGAAGAGATTCTTAACCTTTTCAAGTCTTGGGTCAACTATTCTGTTTTACATATCCTTTTAATATGCACTTCTTACATCCTTCCTTTTATTCGTTATAATAACCTCATTCAGTAAATCTCTACCTTGAATTATTCTTGGGCCTTGTATTAAGTAAAAATATGATTTTAATAGAATTTAATTGTTAAACAAATTGTTTAATCTATTTCAAAAGGTGATGTAAGATTTAATAATCTTCTATGTTTTTTTATTTTTTTTATTTTCACAAAATATTGTCCAAAAAAAAAATTGCATTTGGTGTAAAATTTCTTAAATAAAAAAGGGATAAATAGTTGGTTTAACAGCAATTACAACTTAGTGTTTATATTTAAATATATTTATTTGCCAAAATATATCAAGTATCTGGTTGATGATAAAATGAATGGCTGTGAGATATTGTGAGAACTGGTAGATTTTTTTTTTTTTTTTTATCTATGTGTGTCTATATGTATATTTGTAATATTCCTCTGGGGTGGTGGCATATTATTCTTTCATTTTTGTCTCAGTCTTTTTCTTTCTTTTTGAGTTGTTTGAAGATTTTGCCTTTGACCACTCACTTCCTTTCTCCATTCATTTTGAGATGTCTGACAAGACTTAAACCTCTCTAATTGATGTCTACCACCATTCTCTCAAGACACCAGTGACACACACATACACACACACACACACACGCACGCAAAGGTAAAGTTTTTACTAATCTTACATCCATAAAACTGATAAAAATGTAGAGACTTAAGTCTTAAGAAATATATGTCTGTTCTTTGTACTTGAGAGTATCCAATACCACCTGTGAAGGGTTTTTTATTTTTTTTTTTGTGCCAGATATTTTTTCCCCTTCCCATAAGCCAATACTTGAACTTTCCTCTTTGAAATCTTGGCAGGTCTTAAACACACTTGATCACGATTCATCACACGGGTCTACTTTTAAAGTGTGGAGAAGAGGGGGAGGATGTTAATGTTGTCTAATTGATCTTTGGTCTTTCTCTTCAGTGTTACTTGGAAATAACTGAAATTTCCTTCACTGAGAATGGCAATATCATCTGGGAGAAGGAAAAAAAAACAATACATAAGGAGAGATGCATGTTAACAACACTTTAGTTAGATGTTTTTTTTTTATGTACAAGAACAGATCTTCTGGATATAAGAGCTGAAAAATATCAATTTCACTTCACAATAATATTTCCAAAACAAATAAAAATCTAACTATTCTTTACTATTTACATTATTTGGATTGTTGTCCTCATTTTTATTGCCATATTCACAATCTTTCAGCCACTGTATACTTTCAGTCTTTAGTTGATTTACACATTGGAATTTTGAACCGAACCCCTTTGTTTAGTCCACAGTGCTAGATTTTTCTAATTCCACATGCCATACCTTTTTTTTTTTTTTTTTTTTTGGATACCTCATTTTCAGTTAATTCCTTTTAGTAACTCAGTTCTTCAACTTTTTGTTTCCTTTGCTGTGGCCAGGTATTGAACTTGCAACTCTTTGGGTCAAGTCACTTTTTAGATCAGTCAACCAACGCTTTCCCCACTGGTCACAGCAGGATGAACAAAAATTTGGAGAGTTGAGTTAATAAAGTGAATTAATTGAAACTAAGATATCCTGAAAAGGCATGGCATGTGGAATTAGAACAGTTTACTCACATGAACTGAATAAAGGGTTCAGTTTGAAATTTCAACATATATCACCTGAAGAAGGCCAGAGCGTACAATGGCTGAAACATTGTGAATATGGCAATAAAGATGAGGACAACAATCTGAATGATGTAAATAGTTACAATACCTCATCTCAGAAATATAGACATTCTTCACTAATTGTACACTTTGTATACACACATACTATAAGTAACTGCATATATATGTAAAGTTGCTCTTATCTATTCATAGGCATACATATGAAGTTGGATAGTCTGATACATTATTATTAGCTAAATTTTAATCTGAAGTTTTCACTGTATAATGTTTGATCTATGTCACTGACTCCTATTCCCCAACTTTTTCTAACTGCCACCCTCCTGGTTCTCATGGCTCATCTGTAGTACCCTGCCTACCACACACATATGAAGACACTTCTTTTTTGGTATTTGTTATACAGCAAATTTAAAAATCATAATCTAACATTGTAAAAGGTCTTCTTCAGTGTTATTAAGATGTTGCTAGACAAACTTCCATGGCTATATTGCTACACCTAGAAACTTAGAGCATTGGAACCTGCAGATGCTGATGCTGTCTGATATGGCTGTCCTGTGGCACTTTCTGTCTAGATAATGTTAGCAAGATACAAACAAATGTTTGGACTTTTAACTTAGGACTATAAAATCAAATAAAACCACTTGTTTGTCTATAACTCTTTTTTGAAAAGCATAAGTGTTCCTTAAGTGTAAATGATTTAGATTTTGTCATACAGATTTTGTTTTTAAAAAGAAAAAGAAAAAAATGATAATTTGGTTATAATGCTACTCTCCCTACTTCACAGCCCCACTGAATCTTTTTATTGCTCTCAGCAGGTTGGTACCACCCAATCTGCATATCCCACATCAAAGTGATTAATAGACAAATGTTGGGTTAAGTGCATTGACAAGGAAAGAGTCCTGTTGAAAAATAAATATGTTGTGTAAAATAAATATTTGAATCATCATTGTGTTATGGAATTATTGATTTACCCATGATGTATGTGGTGGGTGCTGAAAAATTCTCTACCTGGTCCATTTTTCAAAATTTGATCAAATGATCATATATTAAATTTTTTTATTTTTAATCCCCCTTTTTTGGCCAGGCCAGGAACTTTTCAGCACTCCCTCATATGTATTCCTAACACTTGATATTTTGCCTCTATTTCTCATGTTCTATTTCTTTGCTTTTTTTTTCAGTTTCTGAAGGCTACAATTATCAGTTGGCTTTTCAACGTGCTCCTGTCCCACGATTTTTGGGTCTGAGTGATGACGAAGAGGATGATGATGATGATGACACAGATGTATCCCCAGACCCCAGGCATGAATCTTCCCGTTTTCATGCTTGGGGCCAGGGACGGCGTCTGGACGAAGAACATGAAGCTGATGATTTGGCGCCAGAAGAAGAGGAAAGTAAGTTGTGTGAAAAATCTTTCTCATCAGTTTTTTGTTTTGTCAGAATTTTTGGGGACAAGAAAATTTGGTTATTGTCAGCTTCCTTATTCAGACCTGTATGTTCTTCTTGGTTGTCATACTTATAACATTTCAGCCATTGTGCCTCCCCACCCAGCCTTCAGCAGGTGTCTGTCTTCATACTCGTTAACCATTTGTGGGAATTCCAAACTAAATGTTTTTATTCAATCCAAGGTAGTGATTAAAATGTATCTATTAGGTTGGTGCAAAAATAATGACGTAATAATGTCGTTTTTTGACGTTAAAAAATACGTCAAAAAACGACATTATTACGTCATTATTTTTGCACCAACCTAATAGCTTCCTGTCAGTTGTGATTTCAATTTCTGTGTCTGGTAGTGATAAAAGGTCAGTCTCTCTGGTTTAATGGAAGAAACAGTGAGAAAGTTGAATCAGATTGGTAGATATTAGCTTATGAGAAGACACAGTGGAGTAATGGATAGCACTTCAGGTTGAGGAATTGGAGAGTCAAGTTCAAATTCCAGTCAAATCCATTGCATTTACTTACGTGCTAATACCCTTGGGAAAGGTATGAATCCTCTTTTTCTCCCCACAGCTATAGGTAAATAGCAGGACAGACTGGGTTCTGTAGCCTTGGATGGCAACTGATCTACCACAGAAAGAAATGGCAAAATCTGCCTTGTTAGTCATGTATGAAAAGATACATGATTGCCTACAAGTGTATCATGCATGGCACATAATTGACTGACTGAGATATTAGCTGATAAGAAAATGTCCATTGTCATGTGTGCAACAAAAAAAATAAAATAAAGAGAAGTAAAGGGAACAACAAGAAGACCAATTAAGTTTTATAGTAAACAAAAAAGATTTTAATGATTATGGTTAGTGGCTAAAAAGGAAAAAAACATAAAGGCATCATACCCAAAACTATCTTGACAAAGTAGCAACCATCATACATACGCAAGATTTATTGCTTAAAAATACAGCAATTATGGTGCCATCATACATACACATATACTAGACTCTCTCGCTATTTTTGACATATGAAGCAACAACAACTCAATTTTTAGAAACTAACAAACTACTTGCACATAGGATTTGATTTTAATGGTGAAGCTTTTTGGAAGAGTAGAAAACAGATAACTCGTGCAAATAGTGTGCCACAAGTGTCATGCGTGCAAAAAAAAAAGAAATAAAATAAAGAGAAGTAAAGGAAACAACAAGAAGACCAACCAAAAAAAGATTTTTATTTTGATTTTAGTGATTATGGTTGGTGATTAAAAATAATAAAACATAAAGGCTTACCTGCAAGAAGTTAAAAATACTTCAAAGTGATTTCAGTCATGAATTGCTGGTTTCTTTTACTATACACTTACATATTCAGTCAGTGAAAAGTAAAAAAAATGAACTGCTCTGAAGCAGATTTTTACATCAACTGACTTGCTTAATTTTAGCACCAACCAACAAAAGCCTGGATGAAGATTCTAACTCTCAGGTTATCTGACCACATCAAAGAGTTCTCTGAAGTCTTTGATCTGAATGACCCAGAACTCAGAGAAGAAGTTTCATTTGTAAAAAGATTCTCTTGACACTATTAATTAGAGAAAGTGGAATGGAAACTATCAAGTGTTCAGTTTGAAATTTAAAATGAATTGTTCTGTATTCTCAGCTTGTTTTTGCTCCGTAATACATTGCATTTTATGTCCTTGATCTCTCTCAGACTTAAACTGGTATTTGTGATGTTGAAATATAAATCTTTGTGTAAAATAAATGTACTTTTCATCCTTAGTCCAGGAACTTTTAGATGTATCTGTCTATTCAACATCAAAAGAAATAAGATAAAGAGAAATAAAGTGAACGACGGAAGACCAACTAAGTTATATAGTAAACAAAGAAAACGTTTTATTATAATTTTAGTGGTTATGGTCAGTGAGCTAAAAAGGAGAAGGGGCACCTCAAGGTAGTGTAATGGTTAGCAAGTTAATTCACTTAATTTTGGTGCCAACCAATGAATACAAATACCTGGATGAAAGACATCTACTTGTAAGATCATCTGACCACATCATAGAGTTCTCTGAAGTCTTTGATCTAAATGACCCAGAACTTGGAAAAGTTTCATTTGTAAAAATAATTCTCTTAACACCATTAATTAGGGAAAGTGGAATGGAAACTATCAGGCTTGTTGATTGAAGAAAGTGTTCAGTTTCAAATTTAAAATGAATTGTTCTGTATTCTCAGCTTGTTTTTGCCCCTTAATGAATTTGCATTTTATGTCCTTGATCTCTCTAAGAACTTAAACTAGTATTTGTGACGTTGAAAAATAAATCTTTGTTGTGTAAATTAAATGCACTTTTCATCCTTAAGCCAGGAAATTTTAGTTGTATCTGTCTATTCAACATCAGCTTGACTTTGTTCGGCATCAGTCTAAAAATATAGACTGACTGGCAAGGATCAACTGTGAAATTATCTGATTAGGCATTGTCAAATTTTGATCTGAAATATTCACTGTATAATTTTTGATCAGTGGAGAAGTGTTTGGTTAAATGCATTAACCAGGAAGGAAATTGTAAAAAAAAAAATAAATATTTGAAATATTTGTTGTGTTGGCTAAGTTATCTCTTCAGTATTAAGCTCTGGGCTTATTGGTGTACCTATGCGAATCCCTTTTTGTTCATCATTTGGCTCTGGGATTATTTTTTTGTTCCAATGAGTAAATTGGTTAAACATAGTAAACCTTTATGTGGGTGGGGTGTAAATTCATTGTCTATTTCCCACTGACATTAACAATTGCTGTTTGAATTTATATAAAAGACAGGTTTTCAAATGCGGATTCTCATAGTAGGCAAACCCAGTTTAGTAGATTGGGAAACTCTATTTGGTTTTGTGCTACATCAAACTAACCTTAATATAAGGCATATGCTTAAATTCCTTGTATGATCCTGTGCACAATATTAGGAAACCTTCAAAGTGTGTTTGATTCAGATTAATAACAATGATTTTGTATTTCTGTTTTGTTTTGGCTGCATAGTCCCCAGCCTTCCTCAAGTAGTGGTTGGAATATTAAATTTTGCCTTCAAAGTTAATCTACATCATGTCCAAAAACGATGAAAACTGAACAACCAAGATCACCCATGTATAATGATTAAAATGAATCATCTAACATAATTTAAATCTTCAAAGTTTCTTTAAAGCTTTCTCTATTCTTTATTTGCTCTGGTGTTCAGTCAGTTATATATATGTGGTTTGCAGGCCTAAAGAAAAATTAGAAAACAAGTTAAATGTCTTCCACATGAACTTCCAGAAATTAACATTAATCTGCATTTAAGTTCTTTTTTTTATTCTTGTTCAAGTGAAAAAAAAAAAAAAATTTTCAATAAAAAAACAAGATTTATTGGGAGAATTCCCCACCCCCCTGACCTTCCCAAAAGAAAATTATAGACAGATCAACACCATTTAAACAGAATCAATTGGTTGTAAAAAAAAAAAAAAGGTTTCTCCTAAGAGAATCTTTTATCATGAATGATGTTGGAACCTGGATAAATTGCTATTTGCTGTTGTGAGCAAATGGCTTGTTTGAATGATGCATATCAGAGGGAGAAACTCTCTCTACCCTACGTCTCAATAGGTCAGAAATATTTATTTGAGGCTAAAGTTTTTTTTTGATAGCCATTCTCATATCAGCCAATAACATGATCACTGAATGAACTTTCTAAAAGTATTTCAATAAACCGAGAAAGAATTAAAAAAATTCTGATGTTTGGACATTTCGTCATGAAATGGGTCAGGTTAAAATCTTCCAGCATCTCCTTCTGTAACAAATCTTCCCTATTCCATTTGTATTCTGTCAGTAAGAAGGAAGTTCCATTTGAACAGTTTCTTCTCAAGCACTGTTACAGACTCCTGAGAGGTTGCTCCCCTGATCACTACAATATTAACCTCTTCAAGTGAAGAGTTAACTGTTATTTTTTCTTCACATCCTCATAAACTGCACTTTTTACCTTTTCCTCCTATGTGTATCAACCTCAATCAGTAACCTTTTACTTTGATTGACTCTTGGGCCTTGTAATGTGTGTGTGTGTGTGTGTGTGTGTATATACACACACACATACACACATATGGTGTAACAGCAAAATTGTCCAATTGTTACTGGAATTGCTGTTGTAACCTCCTGATCCAGTTTTCCTCTCTACTCTTCCCTCCTTTTTAAACTTATTCAGCATTCTGTTGATGGTTCTTGAATGGACTTTGAAGATGGAAGCCAAAGTATGAATGTTGGTACCATTACTGAAAACCTGAATGATCTTTTTTCCACTCACCATTCCACAGTTGGGAAGGCATAGTGGGGCTGACATAAAATGATTTTAACCTGTTTTCTTTCTAGCTCAATAACTCAAAAGGTTTTTCAGTTATTCTTACTACAGATGGTGTCAAGATGGCTAAATGTCTTATCTGAAAACCTGGAAAAAAGAAACTTAGTTTAGTTGTTTTTTAGATATTAAACATTTTGTAGGATGGACAATTATCCCATGCTGTTATACATTTGGGACAATTCTGCTGTTATGCTTGGGGGGGGGTGTATATGAAGTGAGCATTGAAGTCAATGCAAAGTGATGATAGTTTGCTTGATCTTCTGGCTATATTTGTTGTGTGAATCTGCTCAATGAAACATTGTGAGTAGCAAAGTCAGGTGTAAATGGTATTATCCTAACGATTATCAGGTAGGTGGTAATTGTTATATTTTAAATGACTCTAAAGGTTATTGAGTAGAAATAATTGTATAGTTTTGTTTGTTAATAATTCATTAATTATTTGTTGTTGATTATTTTTATTAAATTTACTTAGTTGTGGTTGTGTGGGCACACATAGTAAATTTACGTAGTTGTGTAGGAAAAGACAATAAAGTAACATGGTTCAGGAAGACAGAAGATGACGATTGATGTTGCATTTAAATTTTTGAAGATTGTAGGTGGCAGGGAAGC